GAATGGAAAATATCAATATGGAAATCCAAGTGTGCAACTTGCCCGAACTGTAGTTCTTCTGTTCAACAGTAGACGCAGGTCTTTGCTTCCATCAAACATGGTTGTATTGCTGCTACAATTCCCATCAAGTACCCTTTCTTTTTTAACATGCATGATTGCTGTTGAGGAGCATATTTCAAAATCATGAAAAAGGTGAAGAATTATTGATTCTCTTTTTTAAAACCATTGCTGCTTAACAACTAATAGCACGTTATTTTTCTGCTGTGTTTTCAGTCTGTTTGGATCTGTCAAGTCGACGACAGATGGGACTAAGATACTTGTCTACAACTCTGGTCCTAAGGTATAACTTGCTGTTGTTTCGGGACCATCTAGGTTTAAACCTGCTTTTCCCTGTAACCGGGTATAAACCTTATGCCTAAACTGGAACTTGTCTATCAAGATCCACCGATTTATACAGCAGTATAGAGCTGATTGAGATGTCTGGAAATTGCAGAAGGCACGGGCATTTCTGTGAATTATAACCTAGTAGCTGGCTGGCACATCTCCTTTCCACACTGAACAAACCGGTAAAGGTAGGCTATCAAAAAATCAACAGTTATATTATAGATACTTATTGATTTATGTGGTGTCCCTCTGTTTCACCTTGGTCGGGACTTATTTAGTCTCTTACTCTCCTCACATTGCGTTTCTGACTGAAGGATGACCAGATCTACATTATTTACTCATTCGCCTATCAAGTGCTTCGTCTTTGTGATAACAGATTAGACTGCTTGCCAGTATGCTCTTGTGCTGACTGTATAACTATTAGCTCCATTTGCTTATTTCAGTATTAGTGTCTTTTGCTTTCATCTTCCATAATTGTCTCAGCGCATAAATTAAGAACGGTTCTATATGTCTAGAAATGTAATTTAGATCTTTTGGATCAATTTTAAGTCAAGCCAGAGAAAACCTATGCTGTTAACTAATTGTAGCTGGCCTGCATATTCTTTACTGGCAACACTAGTTAGTTCTCATGTGCGACCAACTTTGGCAGGAATATCCAAACAAACTTTAGACAAACAGCAGATAGGATCTTTGTTATCTTTTAATACAAACACAATGAGATGGCAAGTGGCTGGCAGTTTACTGGTTTAATCCAATCTGACTAAAGCTCTTTGCAAAAAGATATTGAGCACTTAGAGATTTGGCTCACTTCCTCTTCAAATCTCTGCAGGGTCTACCTTTGCCAAGTACGACTGTCTGCGCTGATCTGAGCAAAGGGCTGTCCTGTTAAACTATGGCTACGGTACACAAAAATGAAAACTCTGTAGCTTTCCCCATGAAACAAAACGAATGCTTTAATATTGACTCGTGCCTGGAGGCCGGTACACAGAGCTGGGTTAAAACAAACAGGACCGCTCTTGGCTGTCATCCGCGAGCCGCTGTTCTGGCACGTGGGAAGAGTTTTTGTTTACCGGATGAATAAAAGAAACAAACAGCGTTCCTCGAGGTCCAACTAATCCCAGCTTTACATAAATTAAAAAGTGGGGAGATATGCACGTGGACAGCTGAAAAGAGTGCAAACATGCTCTGACTACCAAGTTGACAAACAGTGAGAGACAAAAAAGAGGGTCAAGGATGGAGCAGTTCCAACAGTTTCTGTGTAGAAAACAAAGTTTGTACAGGTAGATAGAGATTTCTGTCTAAAAATAGTCTTTGATTAATTATGAACAGAGGAAGAAAGGACTTTCCCTTTCCAAAGTAACAAAGTCCCTCCAAAAGTTAGACCCAACTGTTCGTGCTTCATCGCAGGAAGAGTCGCTTTTCACTCCAGCTGTGACGAGAGCGAGTCAGTCTCAGGTCTCTTTAGTCCCGAACACTTCTGTCTTGTTCCTGTCAGCGTGAATGATCGCTACTCCGTCCGTGTTGACAGAGTGAGCACTTGCCCCTGAACTAACCTAAAGGACATATTGTATATGTACATTTTCAAACAACTTCCATTTGCTAAGTGATTGATTTCCTGTTACACCCTGACAGCCCCATGACACCATCAGCGTACACGCAGAATCACAACTTCAATTTACCCAAAGGGGAAAACTTATGAGTCTGAATCTGATGAGTGTGTCTGACAGATGGACGCCTGTGTGTCATGAAAAAACAGGAAACAAAAGGAAGCAAACAGGAGCAACAGATTCAGAGAAATAAGAGTATATGCATGTAGGGATGGGTATCAAAACCCGGTTCTTGTTGAGAACCGGTTCCCACTGTTTCAATTCCTTGGAATTGTTTGCCATTTTTACAAACGATTCCCTTATCGATTCCAGTCGCCCCAAATGACGTCACCACGCTGCGGAGCGTCATTTACCTGGCAGGAAACACGGCGCCTAAGCGGCTCAAACGCTAAAAAGTTTGGTTATACTTTACGAGAACGGATGACAACAGGGCAACTTGCAATACTTGCAAAGTAGATATTTCATTTAAGGGAGGAAACACTACGAATATGCAAAAGCATTTGCTCACAAAACATGCGATGACCTTAAATGAATGTCGTGTTTTTAATTCCGCTCCGGTCTCGTGAATCTCAACCCAGCAGCAGCGGTAACGTTTGCACGTCCTCTCCCGTTAATGCGGCAGGAAAATAATCAACTAACAGTGGATATTATGTTAGCGCGATCTGCCTTATTACAAATCCTGCCATTACTGTGCATTTAGGTGACCATGATGAGACAGAGGGAGTCTGGCTGGCGCTCGCTGGCAGTTCTCGATGCAGTCTACCGGTAGCGTCTCCTTTTAGTCCAGGATAGACGAATGTCACCGAGCAGAGACTAAGTTTGTGATCAAAGGCTTGCACCCATTTGCCACAGCAGATGCCCCCGATTTTCCTGAGAAGTGAATGTGAACGTGTTTAATTGTAGGCAGGGTCATTACTGGATATTCTTGTGTAATTGCTACAGAATAATTTATGTTATACTTTGTTATTGCTGCAGAAGAATATTTATTTTATTATTTTACATTTACAATTTTTTTTCCTGGGGACCCTGTGACACCCCATTGAAGAGCCATAGGCTGTGAATCTCTTAAGATCTCACTGTTGGGTTTGTAAGGCCATGTTACTCCTAAATTTCTATCTTGTTCAAAGAGAAGATATAAAACAAAGTTCTAAGCTAATCGACTTTAGTGTTCTCCTTTTTTAAAAATAATCGATAAGAGAATCAATAAAGAATCGAATCGTTAAACAGAATCGAAAGTGGAATCGGAATCGTGAAAATCTTATCAATACCCATCCCTATATGCATGAGTGTGCATACAGATTAGGCTCAAACTCGTGTTTTCCAAGGGTACGTGACCAACTCAGATTATTATTCTTAAGGCGAATTCAGCCTGAACTAGAAGCAAATTATCTATAATCAAACTTTATTTGCTTACAGCTGATTTGTGATAACCTCTAGCTAACAAAATGTCCTGTTACCCTGTGTGAACTTGTTTTTTTGCCTCCTGTATGAGGATGATAAGTTTGACAAACCTAAAATTTATAATGTTTGACATGTTCTTGTTTGGTCTCCTCTCTGATGTCATGCTGTCGATGATTTTTGATTTATCATTCTGCTATTAATTTGTTTGTGCCCACATGTGTCCTTTTTTTAAAGGGACACTATTTTAATTAGGTTTCTTTTTACATTTGATGCTCTGGCCTTATTAATTGATTTAGACTGTTTTCTTGTGAGTTGTCCAGTTTTAGAGCCATCAGTTATCTGCCCTCTACATCTGGGCAACCACTGTTAATCCCATCGGGATAGCACATGTCCCGATGGAAGACATCCCATCAGTTCAACTCTGACTGCACAGATATATTCAATTTATGAGTTGAATTCAAGTAGTTAGTGTGAATTTCATTAATATTTTATTTCTGGCCTTTTTTCTGCTTTATTGGACAGAGCAGTGAAGAGTGACAGGAAAGCGGAGGGAGAGAGAGGAAGAGGAAGATGTGCGGCAAAGTGCAGCGGGTCGGACTCGAAGCCGTGAATTTCTATGTAGAGGACAACAGATTTGCAACTTTTCACACTGCTGCAGCATCATTATCACCATTACTGCACATAATGGTCAAATTAACCTCATTTTGATCTCCCAGACTGAAAGCAGACTTACTCAGTGTTGTTACAGTTTTGATACCCAAAAGTTGCTTTGAGAATGGCAAGTCGCTACGAGTGATCACAGGCCCTACTCTCGTCTTAAAGCCAACCATTTCAGAGGCAAAAGACCGTGGCAGCAGTGTTTTCCCCAGTGTGACTTAATGTACTGACTTAGAATGCAGTACAAGGTTATGTTTTCCCATAGAAGCCTTATGTCCGTCTAAAAACAGCTGATACCATAGTTATCTTAAATTCACTTCAAGTTCAAGCTGAACGTACCTTAGAGGACAACCTATAGCTTTAATCTGCCAACAACATCAGGTTCAAAAAAATGTGATTGGTAAATTCATGTTAGCCTTGATTATGTAGTTGTGTACATCCAATATATGTCTTTCTCACACAGCAGTTTTAAGTAAGTGAACAAAACAAGCCACCATAGGAATCTCCGGATGGGGGGGTGGGGCAGGTTAAAGTGTTACACCGCTATTTCATCTCCCAGGCAGTCAGGAGTTCCCTGTCTGTTCAGAACATTAAGTAGCCTCACTGTCTCCTGATCTGTTCCCCATCCAAAAATCTCCATGTCTTCCTCTTCCTCGTCCTCGTCCTCCCCCTCATCCTCATCCTCATCCTCCCTGTCATCACTGTCGTCCGTGTTTGACTCGTACTCCGAGGCAATACCCGACTCGCGAAACCTTGCGAATTCCAGGCAGCCCAGAGATTTGACGTCGCAGGACAAAGACTTTACTGGACCCTCTGACGCTTCTGGACTTTTGATCTCTGGCCTGTTAATCTTGAGCGGATGAGGAGGCGAGGGGAGTCGAGGAGGTGGAGGCCCCGGGGGTCCCGGGAGGAAACGGAAACACTCCAGTTTGAGTAGACATTGGTCCCTACCTAGTGGGCTTCCCAGAGTCCCGTTGGATGATGAGAAGGCATTGCTGGTCCCGTCGCTGTTGCCAAATGTGTGCAGGTTGAGGGCTGACAGCTCAGGCTTAGGTGTGGTGGGGTCACATATCACCGGAGGTACTGTAGACCGGAAGGTGATCTCCAACAAACTGTCCTGGGAACCCACTGGATGGAGGAGATAAAGCAAGGAGATTTCAGGTGAAGCAAAAAGTGGAAAGTGAAGAACAGAGATACATTAAATGTTTTCAACCACTTTTAAAAATGAGCCTTGATTGAAATGAATCGGCCATCACCTTTGCAGGCAGAAGATAAAATGTATGTGACATACATATCTGTGAATTGTGGTGAATATAAGATTACAACTCCCAGCAAAATAAATCACTCTGTGACCAATAAATCAGTGCATGCTCGTACAGCATAAGCAGAAGAGAAAAAACAACATGTTTCAAAGCATTTCATCATCATCACGACTGCTCAGTGAAACAGGTTTAGCAGGGTTCTTCATGGGCACACAGCACAGACCTGGAGCTGGAACAGTGAGAAAGAGATGCATTAAAAAAAGACGTCTTCAATACCAACCCAGAACAAACATGAAGGATGACTCACTCACTCCTTGGCAGAGGACAGTAGCAGTAGCTTGTTTGGGTTCACAGCAGTTGCAGTGTTCGAGTTTAAACAACTCCATCAATCAAACATCTACAAAAACTTCTCAGACTGCTTCTGCAGTATAATCTGCTTTAGATTATGCTACATATATGTTTGTTTGTTTGTTTTTTTGTTTTTTTTAGGGAATATATTTTTTTTGTCACACACACTTTAAAAAGTCTTATTACAGTGCGATAAAGGACCTCCTGAACTGCTCAGATCTGCAGCACACTGAGAGGAACTGTCTGCCACTGCTGCTCCTTTGCCCAGCCAGAAGGCTCTGAAGAGGATCACTTTTTTGTTTTGACAACTTCCTTAATTTTTCATGGATTCAGCCAGATGTTGGGATTATTTCTTAGAGATTTTGATATTCACCTGATGGCATCACATAGTTGCTGGAGAATTGCATCATGTTATAGCTATGCTGCAAATCTCCTGTTCCATCGCATGCCAAAGGTGCACTTTTGGATTAAGATGTGGTGGTTGTTTGAGTGCAGTGAACTCATTGTCATGTTCAAGAAACTAGTTCAAGATGAAGCTTTGTTACACTGTGCTGTATCTTGCTATAACCTTAAAGTTATGTTTACCTTGAAGACCTTGATGGATGAAAAAACAAATGTTAATGGATTATTAAAATGGCGCCTAGAAAGTTTTATAAGAATTCATTCAAAACTTTTCGAGCTGTCATTTTTACAGACAGACACGCACGCACGCAACCGCAACCAGAAACATAACCTCCATAACCTAGACTCAGAGCAACAACTTTAAATGTTTAATAACACAGAGTGAAACAGGAACTCAGCTGACTTAAGGTGATAAAAATATTGGCGGCCACCAGTTTTAACCCTCAGCCTTTTAGTAGATTTCAGATGCTTCACATTCACAGTTTCACATCCACAAGATTTTAAGAAAACTTGACCTCTGCCTTTTGAGGTCGAGGTCACTAGGATTCAAACTGGAGATCTGCGATTTTCAGTAGTTATGCTTTTGGTATTAAGTTATCGGAGTCACAAACCTGGGTGCCTACGCTGCCCAGCAGTGGGCTATCAAGTGGAATCCATGTGCAACACCCTGCAGATGAAGTTCAGCCACTGGGATGTTAGCTACGTGTGTGTTTGACATGTCAGAGCATGTTATGAGAAAGTTCTTCTGCTGTGTGATGCGTGAAAAGACGATACAATTGCTTTAGTATAGCGCTTTAGAAAAATCTCTTTCATTTGAACTCAGCTACGTTTTTGAGTAAGTCCACAGAAGAGTGTGTGAATATTAAAATATTAAACATCCACCAACACGCACGCACGCACGC